GTTCTCCTAATTCAACTCACTTTTGTTTTATTTCATCATACTGCCTTATAAAATAACTTGTTGTTGGGCTAGTTGGTACAACAATTCTAAAGGGTAATTCGAGCGCTGTGTGTGTTTGATGCCGGGGTGTGTGCGAGTGTGAGTGATTTTGTCGTGTGTTCGCGCTTGAATTAGCCTTTAAAAATGCTGCCTCATCTTTTGAAATCACGATAATTTTCATCGTTCTCAGCCTGCTATAGACCGTTGCAGGGCGAAGACAATGATGTCCGCTTGACCTTGCCCAGTGCGAACTGATTTCATTTTATTCCTGGGAACATCCAAATTTGTCACTCGTCTAACTCTCTGGCTTTTTGTGACTTATGAAATAGTGATAACTTAAGTGCCTCTGTCGACCAGAAACCTTATGTTGTCGTTGAAATGCACGCATGTTTACTGAGGCTACGAGGTTTACAAAGCTTATCATCGAAATTCTCAGTTAAACTATGCCGTAGTGCATACTGGCACCAATAAAGAAAGAACTGTGTTAACAATTGTGTATCAACTGTGTTACCAATTGTGTTAATACCAAACTGTGTTTACAATGTTATAATGGCGTATTTGTGGCTTGTACTACTAGCCTATATGGTAGTCTAGTGACTAAGGTACTCGGCTGCTGACCCGCAGGTCGCGGATCGAATGTCGGCTGCGGCAGCTGCATTTCCGTGGAGGTGGAAGTGTTGGAGGCCGTGTGCTCAGATTTGGGTGAACGTTAAATAACCCCAGGTGGTCGAAATTTCTGGAGTCCCTCCATCTACAGCATTCTCACAATCATGTCGTTTTTTTGAGACGTTAAACCTCATATATCAATCAATACTGTAAATTTAGAATTTCAGGATAAAAAATGCTGCATTTGTTTTTCCTGAAACCTGCTCCAAATTTAAATTTTCTTCCTGGAAAAGCAAGATATGATGCTTCAAAGTATTGCTCCAGATCTTATCTTTGCTGTTCCACCTCTGCTAGCTGTAAATGGTTACTCTTTCACCCCAATTTGTGTGTCCATTTTATTGTTTTTGATGTTGCATTGATTTATGGCGACATGTTATTATGTGATGTGTTTATAATGTTACATCTTTACATCAACTATTCTGCATGGTTAGTATGTAGCGACACTGTTAATTCATTGTAATATTGCCTCTTGTTTTCTCTCCTGTATTATTGGTTCTCTAGTATTCTGAATGTCTGAACACACAAGGGTTTCAGTGAAATGAAAATGCCACTTTAAGACTCTTTTGTCCTTATAATCATTAAAATACCTCTAGCCTTGAATAATATGCATAAGGCATGCCACAACACATGCAAACTGTGGCAATCGCAGTGTGCTATGATATATTATTTCAGTATATTGGAGAAATAGGGCATGCTGTATTGCACTCTTCCTGCTGTTCGTATGTTTCAGTGCACTGTACTTTTGTGTTGAATTGAAGCATGTTAAAATTAGTTCTTCATTTTTAAGTGCAAATAAAGGCTCTTCTGTTGTACAATGATATGGATGCTTTGGCCGTTAGAGCTCCATGCCATACCATTGACGTCTGATTTCTGGTCTTCTTTTGTAGCAAATGGCATTCTGCTCTGCACACTTGAAAAAGGTTTTTAATTAAGCTGCAATTTGTCTCTGAAGCATGTATGTGCTCTGTGTCTAATAAAATAAAGCTAGATTTCATTTTGCACTATGAGATGACTTTGTGAACGTTGTGTTATGTGTGACAGTTCATTTTTAGTGATGCCTTCACATCAGCTAGGATTACATGTTGTATGTGAGAGCCTGATATGCCGTGCTTCATATATGCACCATAAAAGCAGTACTAGGGCCAGGATTTTCACACTATGATAGGAGCCACTACAATAGGACATCTGCGCCTGAAAGGTCTAGCTGAAGCGTAAGCTTTTTAGTGCTTCCACGGGGGCCTACTGGAAGGGGGTAGCGCTCTAATCATGGTATTTTTCGCATGAGCGCTGAGACGTAATTCTGCATTAAGACCCCCACACCATTTTAGCTATTTGGGTGAATTACACCCCTACACTACTTGTGCTGCTTAAGAGTGTTAGAGTGTAATAGCAAGATTACACCTTCACGCCCTTAGGATTACTTGGGTGTACATTTGATTTTACACCCAAAAATGTTTGTACCCTAGGGTGGAAATCAGGAATTACACCCATTGTATAGGTATATTTCTGCTTGTTACACCCATATCGTGGGATGTAGGGGTGTGAGTTATAAACAATATATTACACCTATAAGGGTGTAATTTGGTTTACAGTGCACGTACCTGGGAATCGACGTTATGTGAAGCATGCGGAGGGAAGGCGACTGTGTTGCAGTTTTTTTTATTGAGCGAAACGTCATGAAATGACGCTAAATATATGTACAAATGTTGCAGGCACATATATTTGTTGACAAGTTGCAGATGTTTATATAACCAGCTGTTTACACTTAATCGATGATGTCAACTGGAACATTCGTATTGGCAATACCAGAAGCTGATATGAAGCGCCGATGCTCGCGAAGGTGCTGGCCTTGGGCACTGCTACATAAATAGACTTTAGCGCATGGTGCCTAACCTCAATTGACGTTAACCCGACGTGACGGCTGTATCAAAGGAGAACATATGTAATGTTTACAAACTTGGGTAGGCAGCACTGAAACCACTAGTGACGTTTCGCAAAGATTAGCGTCCATTTGAGAAGTAGTTCTGAGACCTCGCGTAGCTCTGTGGTAGAATGCTTCAATACCATGCAGAATGCTTCGGTTCGATTTCAGCTGAAACCCGGACGTTTATTTTATGTTGTCGTTTGGTCGACACTACCGATGTCGGCTATTACTTGATGGTCACGCGTTAAAACTGTCCATGTGTGTTCTTGTCGTTCCTGGGTAGATACTAAGTGTCAGCCACCTGTGGCACATAACAACATACCGGTGGCACATACCCGCCCGCGGGTATGTGCCACTGTGTGGCGGGAACTGTTTGACGACGTACGCGACGGAGTTGTATAGATAGATAGATAGATAGATAGATAGATAGATAGATAGATAGATAGATAGATAGATAGATAGATAGATAGATAGATAGATAGATAGATAGATAGATAGATAGATAGATAGATAGATAGATAGATAGATAGATAGATAGATAGATAGATAGATAGATAGATAGATAGATAGATAGATAGATAGATAGATAGATAGATAGATAGATAGAAAACGTATTTTCTCACAAAGGCACGGAGAAGGAGGGCGTCGGAGGAACCCCAAGTCAGGGGTCCCTAGGACGACTCTAGCGACAAGTCGAGCCTGCTCTATCATATCTCGGGGGACCTCGGAACGTCCATCGTGGAGAGCATCGTCCCACGGCTCCTCGTTAAGTTAAGGGTGAAGGAAAGCTCAATGTCGCCGAAGTTCGCTAAGAAATGCTTGGCATTTAAAAATCGAAGTATGGCACTGCGATTCAAACCTCTCACCCCTCGCTCCACTGCCTGATCTGTTAGATAGCTCTACCATGTTCCACTTGTTCTCTGGAACGCTAGCGACGAACATTTGTCACTGGTAGAACACAGATATCGCAGGTCTTCCTGCTGACTCAGTACCACTCGCGAGATGCTGTGCAGAGCGTGGTTTAAGCAGGGCTCCTAGATTCTGTTTCAGCAAGCTACATCGTTTTCATCTGGTTAGCCACCCTATCCTTCCATTTAACTTTCTCTCACCTTCTCTATCTATATATCTCTGTAAAGTGCAATAGGTTCACATAATCTAACGTCTCACATTTTTATTACAATAACATTGATATGAATACAGGACGGGTTTTTTTCCAGGAACCACTTCCAAGCCGTGATTTAGCGTACATGTGTGTTATATGCGTAAAGAACCTGCAAAGGCAAACATTATTGGAGGAATATTTTCCACGGACCCGAACCATCAGCTCCCCACCATGACGCTTTAAGGCACTTGGCTCCAACGCACATAGATCTGAAGCTCCTAACATATGGAGGTATATATAGGCTCTAATTACCGCTGATGCTCGGCATATCTTGGAGATTCTTAAGTGTGTCAGGGGCCCATGAACTATCACCCGCGAGATCATGGAGTAAGTGTTCAATGGGCGAGCTTTCAATCGTACCTCGCCACACACGTCTTTTGTAAAGCCTTATAGATCTAGGACAAGGAGGATGTGTTTACTTAAATTTACATGGCGTAGCCACTTCTCCTCTACCACTTTTTATGGCAGAACTTAACAGATGGTTCATATTTTTCTACGTGTTTTGCTGTCATTGCTAAATATGCGTCTAAACGGTGGAAAGGACGAATATACGTCACTTTACTTGTCGCCGTGTCCGCGTTTGGTAAAGTTGTCACTTCGTAGCCTTTCTTCATATATATTTTCCATTTCTTGTTGGCACATTCGCTTCCTTGTCCTTGCGCCGAAACTGGAACTTGTTTTGCCCTATACGGGCACCATAACACTACAGTTATTCTGTTCTACACTATGCAGAACAGTTGCAGCTTGGGGTAGTTGGTTTTACATTTTTCTTGAGTACCTGTAGCTCGAAGCAACCGTTTTTCATCCTGCCTCACAACGTAGAAAAACTGAAGGACGGTTGCGCTTAAATTTATGTCTTCTGGCCCTACGCGAGGGGAATAACACATTATTTTTGTTAAGTGTGAGGCCTGATTACCCAAATGGCATTGTTGAAATGAAGTCGCACTTAGTTTGGCCCTCACTACATAGAGCCGACGATTACAAAAACAATGCATCTGTAGCACTTTATAATTCTACTGCGCGACAAAAAACAGGTAATGAGACCTGATGACCTTGTGGCTAATGACACTGCTCATATCGCAAAGACGGGGGTGCACATGGCCACAAGAATCCGGTAGGACAAGTAGTTCTAGGCACAAATCATACAAAGTAGCACAAGAGAAGCATTTAGCGTTGACCAAGAACATCGTCACTCTATATTCTACTTACATGGTAACGTGAAGATCCCACACGTCTCTTTTTTGTCCCAGAACCTCAATACGTATGGAATCCTTCTCTCACCTATAAAAAAAGGCTGTCATTGATTTTCTGTTCCAACACAGTTCGGGCCAGCATTCTAGGTGTGATTCTTTCGATAGAAATCTTTCGTACGGGCGGGCTAATACAGCCGCTATAGTGGTAGTATGTGATGAGGGTGACAGACAATTTGGGGAAAATGGGTGCTTAGGAAAGGGTGTTTAAACTCCGCTAACACAAAAGCTATAGGTTTTGTGGTAGCGGCTCAGCTTGCAATGCGCACTCGTGACTGCCCCAGCAAAACCTTTGTTTACATTTACTGCTTTACTTGCCGCTATTTCACTTAAGCTTCATCACATCGGAAAGGTGTTTGATGTAGTGCGTCAAATTCATGACTTTACTGTAGAGATTCCCGCTTGTGTCTCTGGTTTTATACAAATACATGAGCGCCTTGATAAACTAGTCTGAGATTCTGGCGCAACGATAGACATTTGCAGGGTTTCCTTTCAGGGGTTCGAAGGTTCGTTGTAGCAACCCCTTTCTTATTAGGTGGATACATGGGGCTGACTTTACGCCTCCCCGCCACCCTTTTTAGGTAACAACAGCCCCTGTCCCCATGCGCATGCCCATGAGCACCACTGCTAAGCCGACCATAATGTTTCCGGGAGTAACGACGAAGCTTACATCACAACGTAACGGTGGCGAGCAGTAGGATTTACCGTATCTTTGTAGCACATAAGCGTTTATAATGTAACATGACGACCACTTGTCAGCCGACAGGCCTACAAATTAAAGTGCTTCGTCCATAGAACGGCCTCGTAATCCTCAATCTCGAAGTGCGTGACACAAATAAATAGAATATTTTCCTTGCGATGAATGATATAGTTGGAACGGTTCAGCAAGTCAGTGGAACCAGCCATTTACCACCGCGCTCTTGGTTGCTCCTTCAATAAAAGTGCATCTTGACCTGACGAAGTCTGTGGTGGAGTGGACCGTTGACAAATTGGGTGGCTATATGCAAGACTGGTCAATTCTTAAATAGCGTGACGCAACGCTGAGTCGAGGCTCGGCACCCTGTTCAATTCCATCGAGTGCTTCATTTGAAGAGACCATTGCCGCTTTGACATCTTGAAAACCAGCATGTGGTTATGACTGCGAAGCAATGGGATTCACTCAAATTCTCTGGCAAAGTTGGAACTGACGCTTTGATGAGCGCAACTAGCAGACGACCAGTATGACATCTTTGTTCATAGTGCACACTTGCTGAGGTATAGTTCTTCTGAATGTTTAACCTACGGCTGCGCAAATTCGTAATGGCACACGTAGAGCTCACTTACCTGTGTTAGTGACATATTATTTAAATACTTAGGTTGCCAAAAAGTGTTTTTTGCGCATGTACTTTGTAGACACACACTTCCTGCCACCCTTTTAAGGAACGAAATTCACTTGGTTGGCGAAAGCATGAGAAACAATACCGCTCACACATGTCAATAAAATAATTAGGTGGTGGCAGGTGCACCTCACGTGCTCAAATGGCGAAAAAAGTGCATAAACACGAAGTGCACTCCATCAAGCGATGGCATAACAACGCCCACTCTCATTATTTACGTCGTGGAAGAACTTGGTAGTAGCGTTTTCCAAGTTGCTTGTTCAGATTCGCTATATATATTTGCCGGATTTCAACCTCGGTAATAATTGGCAGCAGCCGCTGAAGTCTGCCATAGGTTCTTCTCCGGAAGTGCCGCTATTTTCTCATCTGATTGAGAGCCTGCCTCCACTAAATATAAAATCATTTCACCCACTTTATTTATTTACTACCCTAATCGATGTTTTTGCTCATCTTGACATGGCTTCCTACCACCAAAATGGCAATTATGAAGGCAGCATGAAAATATACGTTTCTCATTTTGGGAGATTCTCTTCTCGGACACATTTCTTAAAACACCATGTACATCATGGTGTAAAACATAGACCATTAAGCAACACATACTCTGCGCTTGTTCTGTGTCCTCCCTCGTTTGTGTGTCGTCTTTATGCGCTCCATTCTACGCCATGTTGCAAACCAACTTGCCCAGTTTGTATATTGCACAACCTGAATTAATTGTAAGCACAATATTCACAGCGTTTGACCTTCATCTTCTTCATATTTATATAATCATCATCAATAAAAAACGTCGTCTTCATTCTAAGCGTATATCAGCCAAATCGGCCTAATGAACGCAGTCGAGACTCAACGCTGCTACTGTCTTACAGGGTGGTGGAGGCTGCTTAAATACCCAAGTGCTCTCCGACGTCATGTTCCCCTCGAGCTTCGTTCGAATCGTCGCTTGCTTCCCCCGTCTGCTGTCATGGCTCAAGAATTGCTGCCCGGAACGTCCAGCATCCCCGTCCAACAAACCATTCCTGCGTGGATAGTCAACGCCCGGCAGCGCGACCCATTCATCTTCTCTGGTCTTCCACGCTACGACGTCGAGGTATAGCTGAAAGAATACGACATGACCAGTGTTTATGACCAATGGGATGAGCCTCAAAAACTTCGTCACGTCGCCTTCTATCTGTCCGATGTCGCCAAAAACGTGTTTTTTTCACCACGAGAGCAGCTTCCCGGATTGGCCTACTTCTGCTCAACAAGTCCCTAGGATTTTTGGGAAACCGAACATTCATTCCGTAGTGTCGAAATGAAAGCTCGATGGGCGTGCCCAACATCCCGGGGAGACGTACACTTCGTACATTGAAGACGTCCTTGCCCTTTGCCACCACGTGAACTCGGCGATGACAGAAGCTGATCGTGTTCGCCACATCATCAAAGGGATATGCCATGTCGCGTTTAACGCTCTGGCTGTTAAAAACCCCACCACCGTTGAGGATGTCATCACGACATGTCAACATCTTGATGAACTCCAAGCCATTCGATTGCACCCAGACTACCCAGACGCCAGTGACAGCCGGCCTTCCTCGGATGCGGATTTGCGCACGCTGATTCGCACTCGGTTTCGTGAGGAACTTCAAGCGCAAGGGTTGTCATGTGCACCCACCCCTCGGCCTCACTCTCCATCTGCTGGACTGCATGACATCATGAAAGAGGAGTTCTGATCCATGGCTGGTGCTGTCCCATCGAACGCTCTGGTGCCACCAACGCCACCCATCACGTATGCGCAAGTCGCTGCCATGCCACCTGCCTTGGTTAAGCACGCGCATCCTTTTCCTGCGCAGTCCAACGTAGCGGCATTTGCACCACACTCGCCTGTCCCAGCGCCAGTATCAGCGCCTGTGACAGCTCCAGCACTCTATGCCTCCTGGCGCTTGCCTCGCCCAATATGTTACTATTCTGGCATTCGGGGCCATATTTCAAGATTTTGCTGCAAGCGCTAGAAGAACGAACGCCGCAGCTACGACGTTAACGAAAAAGATGCGGAGCCATCCCCGAACCAGTGCAAGCGCCACCCTACGACACGTTCCTTCTCTCCGACTTCTCCACTCGCCGCACCTCGCCCCTGCTATCCCGTGAGTGAACCCATCAAAGCGTCTCCGTCATTTCATTCACTCGCCGCTGTCGATTTTCTTTGTGGCTTCGGCAATGAGACAATTGCATCCCACTAACGCCGCGACCCTTACTGTCGCTCTAGAATGCAGCGTCTTCAAGGCTCCTCTCTCAACCTTTCTAAGACATGGTGCACCAAGCATTATATTGGGCGACCGCGGCAAGGCGTTTCTCTCGAAACTACTCGAACAAGTCCCCCACGCATGTAATACGATTCATAAGACGCCTTCCAGCAACCATCCGCAGACTAGCGGCCTCACAGAGCGCTCCCATCGAACAGTTACCGACATGATATCTATATATCAACGTTGACCACACCAACTGGGATACCATCCTGCCATTCGTGACTTTTGGGTACAATACCGTTACGCAGTGCACCACGGGCTATTCCCTAATATTTCTCGTCTATGGCCGTCAACCGACATCTCCGCTAGACATCTTCATTTTTGACGTCTCTGTGAACTCGTCATCGTCATCGAGGGAGCACTTAATCTCTCGCCTGGCCGATTGTCGCCGACGCGCCCACCTCAATACAGAGGCAAGCCAACAAGTGCGGAAGACTCTCTATGATGGCGTCCACCGTATATTTCACTTCAATACTGGAAACGAAGTACTGTTGTGGACCCCAACGCAGGTTCCTGGCCTGTGTGATAAGTTTCACTCGCGTTTCATCAGCCGCCACGCTATAGTCGAGGCGACGTCTTCTGTTAACCATCGAATAACCCCTGTTGTCATGCCATCCGACGGCTGTTTTCGTGGTACGGAGGTTTTTCACGTGTCGCGCTTAAAACCATTCGTGCGACGTACACCACCGTCATAAACAATGGCCACAGCTGGCCGCTTCCGCGCGAGGGGGAAATTAGTGTAACATGCACGATATTCACAGCGTTTGACCTACATCTTCTTCATCTGTATATAATCATCATCACAAAAAACTTCGTCTTCGTTTTAAGCGTTGATCAGGCGATTCGGCCTAATAAACGCCGTCGGGACCACAACGCTGCTACTGTCCTACAATATTGTCATGTCGCCTCAGAGGTCCAAATCGTGTTTATTGGTCCAAGAGCAGCAGTGCTCTTGACAAAACGCGTCGGTTAAGTAGAGTCGAGTAGTGTCATTTTAATTTCTCTCTGTCGTGTAGACCACAACCTCGGACAGTGGCACACACCAACGCTGAGGAATTGACCAAGAACAGGGTAGTCTTTAAAATGAATTCGTAATGGTTAGATTAAATGTCGTCTAAATATAGTTGAAAAAAGTAGTACTTTAGCGAAATTGCAAATACTAGCAATAAATCAATAAATACGTAGGTAGTAACTATGAGCTGAGTAATTGAGGAAATAATAATTAGGAATTCAAACGCAATAGAAGTATCACTTGGCTCTACAATCTAAATTTTTTTTGAAAATTCTAAACTACTCAAAGGCGTCGGCAACATTCCCGACGCATATGGCCCAGAGAAAAAGCCCCGAACAAAAGCACATTTGGTGCACTTAGATATAGTCTAAGCAGTCGGAAAGTGGTACCTAAAGTGTTACTCCGCCACGTAGAATATCTGTTGCAGGAAATAAGAAAAGGTTGTGTTGTCTCATGTACTTCGCAAAAAAAACAAAAAAACAGGAGGAGCTGCCAGACAAGTTCTGTGTATACAAAAACTGTGTTATGGAGTCTGATAACGTAGTCCAGTGATTGCAACTTCAAGTTCTCTTGTTCGGCATATTTCACTGTTCTACCAGTGTCCGAGGTGCTGAAATTCCAATGTCGCCGCTAATAATTAGAGGGAAATTCTTCAACTAACACTTTTTTCCTAATATAGCGCCCAATAAGAGTTTTGATGCAGGCAATACCTGAGTTACCGCGCCACTCAAAGATGTCTTTGCTAACGAATCCGCCATTTCATTCATAAGTAGGCCCTAATGTCCTGCAAGCCGAACCAAGCTGATAAAACTCATATAGGGGAGGAGGGAATCGAGGACTTAAGTGCGCTCAGTTAAGCTCGTTCTGGAAAAGGACCACGCGTGCCCTTCTTTCTTTCACTACGTCTCTCACTGTCCATATATTTCACCCACTACTACGGGTGGCAATAATTTGTTCCATAAATTTGGCAGTGCTGAAAGTTATGGTTGTCTACAGCCTAGCTATGATCACCGAACTGCGTTTGTTTGAAGAATCTGTAATTAGGTATAAGATAAAGAGAACGACAACTCTCTGCCACGGGAAAGGCTTGGCGCCAGAACAAGTGTCCTTGCTCGTTTCCTTATAACAGTAGAGGATTTAGTGCTGGGCCCCAAAGCGGCTTCGTACGGAAGCCCTTCAATTTTCTTGTATTTTCCATCGGTGCGGCTGGGAGTCAAAAGGGACGCAAGAGCGTGTCTACGTAAGGCGCTTGGTGTCTCTAGTTTCGGCACTAGCCGTGCTGTTCTCAGCGCCATATTCCCGATAATGGTTGAAACCGGCATAAATCATTTGACCGCTGCTGCTGCTACACAAACTATCTGATAAGGGGCACGTGGACGTCGTAGCCAGGATATAACAGTTTGTGCCGACAAAGCAGGAAACCATACCACAGCAAGAGTGTCAAAGCTGCAGCTGTTTTCCTCGTTGAAAAAAGTTGTATACTAATCATCAGCATCACACTTACCATCACCATCATTACCACCACCACTACTGTCATTATAATTGTACTGACTGCGCCCACTGAAGCACAAGGACCTCTTCTGTGTTTTTCTAAGCAACCCGGGTCCTGTGCTCACAACGCCTGCGTTATTGTCGAGAACACCGTAACTTCATCTGTTCAAGTTTACGTCTCTATCACACACGCTCGTATTCTTTCGGAATCCACTCTCTTATCTCAATGACCACCGATTGTTGTGTCTACGCACTATAATGCCAATGCGTTTGTCCTCACTTCTTCTTGATTTTCACGAAGATGTCCTTGACTGCACTTTCCATGTTCCTCATAATTCCACCTATCATATTCATGCTAAGGATGACTAGGTTACTTATTTAAGGTTTGCCCACTTTGTAAGTCTTCAGGCTTCTGCTCCGTAGGCTTTACCGGACAATGTGCAGCTCCTATATACGCGCCTTTTCAGAGATAGCGGCAAGCTACTATGCATGATTTTCGCATACCTAGAAAATGCGCTCCTCCTCATTCGACCACATGTACATTAGCAGCACCCAAATGTGGTGCTGACGGATCATCATGCCAGAAGGTATAGTATTTTTGGCCTTACCTTTCGCGCCATTGAGTTTAACATTCATCACAGGTCCATCAGGGCCCTCGGAAAACGTTGCACTGCAGGGTATCTTCTTCCTTTAAAATGATAAGCAAATAACATGCTCACCGTAATAAATAAAATTGTTTCAAAGGCTATCAGTCGTACAAATTATAACCAAATGCGGGGTGAATGAACAAAAAAAAATCACAGCTCATCCACGGAGTGAATGGTGATGAGTGGGGCGAAGCTTCGAAGGGCTTTACCGGCCAACCAGGCAAAATCTGCTGCCGCTTCCATCCGTCCGTCCGTCCGCCCGCCTGTCTGTCTGTTCATCTGTCTGTTTGCCTGCCTGTGTGTCTGTCTGTCCATCCGTCCGTCCGTCCCGCCCGTCCATCTGTCTGTCTGTCTGTCTGTCTGTCTGTCTGTCTGTCTGTCTGTCTGTCCGTCTGTCTGTCTGTCTGTCTGTCTGTCCGTCCGTCCGTCCGTCCGTCCGTCCGTCCACCCGCCCGCATTAACATTCATTCCATCCATCTAGTGAACACTTGAAGTACCGCCATTTCGCATCTTTTCACCATATATTCATCATATACAAGTACCACCATCTAGCACAGACATTCCAGGGACTAAAACAAGAGGTGGCTACTACATACAGGAGACGCACGACCCACGCCTTTAGAAGCTTCGCCCCTAAAAGAAGTTGAATGAGACAGCGTCTAATAAAAACATTGAGTCGTATTGGTGATGAGCCCGCACGCGTATACAATGTTCTAGGAGGTCTTGATTGAACGTAGTATGAGGAACATCGTTACGCACACGCCACTGGTTGGTCGCCGGCGCTCAACAAAGTACTAATTCCCTTATAAAAATACTTGAAGGTGCCCTATATAAGAAACAAAATGACGCAAAAACACAGAAAAGTAATACTTAAATAGCTTGACGCCAAAATGGCTGATCGTTGGCCAATTGTAAACGCCGATCATTTCGCTTAAGTCGCACTTCTTTGAAGATCAGTCTGGCATCCTCTATAAGGGCTATTTGCAATGGCGTTGGCTGAACTGTTTTAATCCGTAAAGGTAGCGATCGCATGTGTTTGGGTTGTTTCCTCCAAACTGCTGATATTCGGGCCGAAACCCATTAGTGTCTACGCATGTCAGTACGCATTGCTGTCTGCTGCTACTGTCGTGATGGTCGATTTACTTGAGTGAAAGATAAGGTGCTAGCACCCTTTTTGAGAGAGAGAGAGAGGGCGAATAATGTGAATTTGCTATAAAACCACTCTTTCTGCTATGAACGATGTACTATACCAGCTCGCAAGGAAAGAAGGTGAGCCTCTTCCGACAAAAGAAAGCCTCAACGAAAGCTGCATCTGCTAGCGAGCTTCTTGATCGAGAAACCTGACTAGCTCACGCTACACAACTATTCACCGCCAACCTTGTATGAAATGCTTTGCCGGCGGGAGACTTCTCTTGTGTGCAGATGAAAAACGAAAATTTGCAGGGATCGCAGGCCCCAGTTTTCTGGGCTTCCCCCAAAACGGTGTGCACCGATGAAACCCGTGAATACTGCATGCGTCACTCCATACAAGGTGTCTCATTAGTGGAGTTGAAACACCTGTCCATACATGCCCCTTTGCCACGTTTCTTTCCCGTCCTAATGTAGCACTTACACTGTTCCTCATCGAGCACGTGCACACTTGTGCTACCTGATATAAATATTTCCTTTCCGGGGCGTACCTCCCCTTGCAAGGGAAAATCTCTTGGCGCACCATGTCCACTAGTTCTCAAGGCGAGCGCTATTGGCGTGCTTCTTTTCTCATCCCCGGGAACTCATTGAGTGCACCGCTCCAAGCAGCTACCCATCATGGACATCTTAGAAGCGAAGGCAGTGGCGAGAGCTCGCAACGCGCCTACAATGCAGGTTCACCACCAGAACGCATGTTGACATCTCGAGATATCGCGATCGGTGAGATCTCTCGATTGATAGCACAAGACCTTTATCTCTAAGGATGCGTTTTATGCGTTCACTATGGTAAATTACCTGCGGTTGATAGGCAGTGTATGGCTATTGTATTGTATGTTAGGATCAGTGCAAGTCGTCAACAATTATGGGCCAGAACCGGCGCCGCTGTTCTCGGGTAGCTTGCGAGGTGCACAAAGGCTGGTGATGGTGTCTTGAAGAAAAAATAAATTGCCAGATCCCCCGTACAGTGGGAATCGATGATATGCCAAGCACGAATGAGGAAGGTTGATATGTTACTTTGAAATCAGCACATCGTTACGAGGGGACCGGACATAGTACAAATAGAAGACAAGTTGAAATGTTATGCGCATTGACGTATCTAGATAAGATGCATCTATGTTGTTTACAGTCACTTAGTGGCGACAACCCTAACATTTGCAATACAAGCACAATCAGTGGTAGGCATGTACATTAGGCCGTGCAAGACTTCCACACCGTGATTTTCATGTTTGCGCCGGGCATTTGTGTTCGTCGTTTATTCACGTCACGTAATACGAAGTTTGGTTTATGTGAAGCTAGCAAAACGGCCGTGAGCATGCTATGACCAAAGCATTTAGTCATGTTTTAAATGACACGCATGCCATAATTATCCTGTTTGAAATGTCATTTACATTCGTCGTGTAATCCCGTCACGTAAAACCAAATTCGGTATATGTGAAGCAATATAAACGGCCGCAAGCGCGCTATGAACGTAGCATGTAGTCATGTTGTACATGACACGCATATCGTGATTATCATGATTTGACGTGTCCTTTAATTCGGTCTTCCATTCACGTCCCGTAATGTGAATTTTCGTATATTTGAAGCTAGAGAAATGGCCACGAGCGCATCATGAGTGTGGTATGCAGTCATGTTATTACGTGGCACGCATGTGATTATCGTTTTTGCACTCGTCATATACATTCGTCATCTATTCACGTCTCGTAATACTAATTTGGTATTCGTGAAGCTAGAGAAACGACGATAGTTATAGCGTGAGAACAGAACGACGACACAGAGACAAGAAGGACACGAAGGACCCGAGCGCTGTCTCCGTGTCGTTGTTCTGTTCTCGCGCTATTACTATCGTCATGTCATACCAACTAGCCCAAGCTGTCACATTTCTAAGCTCGCGAAATGACCGCGAGTGCACCATGACCGTGGCGTTGAGTTAAGACTTAGATGACAAGCAGGTCATCATTTCCACGTTAGGGCCTGTCAGTTGTGTTCGCCATGCAGTGTATACCATAAGCGTTTTGCAAAATGTCTTGTGAATGAAACCACCACAAGAGCACCAAGACCGTGTCGTGTAAACCATGACATACAGGAATCACAGTACCGTTTCATAAATACATAAATAAATAAATAAATGAAACAATAAATAAATAAATAAATAAATATACTGAGAGCGGACATTGCATTCGATTGTGACGAAAGTGCGACACCACGCTAGACACAGAGAGCTCTCGCAGAGGGGTGGGAAGAATGGGTACAGAGACTCACAAGAAAAGAAATCACTTTCGTCTTTGAGCCATCTTAGGCGAATTCATAAGAAACACTGTGAGCATCTTAACATTTTGTGATTAAACAACTTTTTTTATTTAATTGCACTTTCGCCCGCTTACCTTTGCTCCTTCTTCAGGTACCATTCATCAAATTCGTACGAATCATTAGTGAGCCGAATTTGTTTAAAGCAAAGACATGTAACGTATTCTTTTGGGTAGTTCAGCTTTTTCAGCCAAAAATTTTCGGTAGTATTCAGAGCCTGAAAAAAAAGTGCATGTCTTTTGTTTTCCCGCCAGCTCACAGCAGTTCATGAAACACAGTATTATATAGAACTGCAGCATTCACGCCAACGAAAAGCACTTATTTACGACGCACGAAATAAAGTGTTGCTTCAGGTATGAATTTCAAGTTTTAGAAGTGCGTTGAAGAAACATGCACCATATGCAAATTCATATGTACTTCGCAGCTTATTTCTGGTGTTTGGGCACGTGTCTGAAACATAGCCGGGACAATATAGTTGGTAATCGCAGTCAGTGCGCTTTCATGCCCCAAAGTGACGACAGCTGTAGTGGATGCCACTAGAGGGTTCCGAAAATTTCGACCACGTCGTGTTTTCTAACTTGCACCAACCGCTATATACACGGGCCTGCAGGATTTCGCCTCCACGTAAGTGTGGCCGCCTCCACTGCAATTTAGTGGTGTTAGTATGGCCTAATGAGACCTTCCTTTGCTTACTAACCAAAAAGGTATGTCGAGAAATGAAAGAAGCCTTTCTGACGGTGTACCAACAAAACACATACATCGTCCTGTCGCCATACCAAAAAGAAGATCAACAGTCAAGAAAACCTAATCGGCGTATTGTAGGCCACGTGTATCTCGTGAACACCGCGAGCTCAAGGCAAGGCAGAAAACACAGCGCTTGCCGGCGCAGTCATAATTTTTTTGCAAGACAAACCAACCAGCAAGAAATCAATCTGCATGCCTAAATATGGTCGAGTGAACCTCCGAGTTAATTGAAGACTAGTGGTCAGGTTGCGGATCAATGGCAGCGTACTTGAATGAATATAAGTACATCAAAACGATAAATTGGCCAAGTTAGTAATTGTTCATGATTTCTTCTTGTGACTCGTACTGTGAGACTACGTAAGAGACAACAGTGCGCACCAGCTGTCCTTGTGCCTGTCTCGACCTTGTCTCGCAGCGTAAAACGCAAGAAGAAATAATGCAAGCAACTGCAAACAGAAATTAAGTATCTAGACAACGATATGCTAAAAAGATAGACATCTCAAGAAAGCTGCCCTTTGGTAATTTTCGCCTGATCCACCAGCTACAGTACTCATGCATGAAAACGGGACAACTTAGAGCTAAGCAATTCCTGTATACTTTCAATTCCACCATCTTCATCTGGGGCCATAATGCAGGTAATTTACTCGAACGCATCTGTTAGAGACAGCATGATGTTTAGAGGCCAGATCCATTGCGACATGGCGTGGTTACCTAGAGCGATTCCGCATGCCAGGTGTTATGTCAAAACTTATGTCTCATTATAACACGTGCGCACTGCACACCAAGGTGCTTCTGATCGGAATTTTGGGACGTTAAACCCCGCATATCAAATCAAATACTTCCGATCGGACTCAGTGAATTCAAGATCAGCGGTGATTCTTCTTCGTTCAACGAGGATAACAGCGATGCCAAATGATTTTGTTTCCGTTGGGCAGTGACGTCACCAAGGGCGGGAATCATGGTCGCGTTTGGAGGCAGTGGAGATTCATTTACGTGCTCTGTGGCCGGTAGCAGATTGTCGGCGTCCGTCTCGGCATTGTGAACGATGGCGCACATCGAGCTGAAAACCCAGAACTGAAAATCCAGAATAAAGTGTGAGCTTCCCCACAAGAATCGTTTAGGGATACCTTTTCAAATGAGGCCACAAAGTGTGAAAGGGTTCAATTGTTTCTTCAAAACAAAACCGCAACACAGCAATATACGAACCCACAAGTGTGATTCTCCACCCGCAAGTACGAACACTAGGCAAATCCTTGTCATACTCATAATGCTGATGGCGACTCAACAGTCGCCACGCCACTCTAGGTAATTTTAAGAAACTCCATGGCCTGAGCAGTCGAGGTAAACTAGGCGACAGAACTTTGTTACGCTTGCAATGCGGTTAGATCTGGTTCAACGCCTGCTAGGGTCCTCGACGGGTGGCGCGGGCACAACTTTACTTTTGCGAAAGTGACCTGTTGCATTATACTCTTTCTTTAGCACTGTATTTTATTCGCAGTGATGATTGCGACGATGCAGTGCGGCCAGCACGAGCTGCTGGTCGGAACGTGTGAATTTGATATTCAAAAGCAAAATTTAGTGCACCTTTGCCGACCTAGCGTAGGGAAGACTGGCCAAAAAGCCAAGCTGATGGGTTTTGCTCAGCTCTTTGTGTCGTTAGGCATGGCGCATTTATGGCAACGCGGGCGATATTTTATCAGCACATTCTTTTCGGAAAGGTATTGCTTCCCGCAACATCGCATACATCCGCCGTCACGCTATTTGATGAGAACATCTATTTGTATTCCGCTTGCAGTCAGTTCTTCGATAAAGAGTGCGGCAAAAAATATTTCAAATATGTTCATATCTTGCTGTTTGCGAAGTCAAGGTTTCTTCTGAAGCACGTCTGCTCTAGAAATGACATAAAAAAGAAACAAAAAAATTGTTTTGTGTCCCCTGAGGAGAACTTTGTTCACAATTCAGTCAACAACACTCCCGTCATTACCGGTATAGTGGCTAAGGTACTCGGCTGCTGACCCGCAGGTTGCGGGATCAAATCACGGCTGTGGCGGCTGCATTTCCGATGAAGGCGGAAATGTTGTAGGCCCGTGTACTCAGATTTGGGTGGATGTTAAAGAACCCCAGGTGGTCGAAATTTTCGGAGCCCTCCTCTACGGCGTCTCTCATATTCATATAGTGGTTTTGGGACGTTACACCCCACAAATCAATCAATCAATCCCGTCATTACGAGCAGCGCTCCGCCAAGGTCTCCAAAACGTGTTTATTCTGAATTCTTTTTTTATGGTCTCTGTCCTCTCTTGAATTTCCTTGGCGCACAATTCTGGACACACGAAGAGGAATATTCGCTACAGTAAATAAATAAAACAAGCCGGCTCAAAATACATCACGTCAATCTTCATTTTTATAAGTGACCTAATGGTCTGTTGACGTGCAGCTTAAGGAAAGTCAACTGTGTAGGGTTTTTTTTTTGCAGACGGTGGACGTTTCACCTCCAGCTTCAAGGGCATCAATCATAAGTGTGATGGGGGGCGGGGGGGGGGGGAGTGTTTCATGGTTACGCCATTGTGCACAGCATTACCTTGATTCACGCAAGTTAGTGCAATTTTTGAGAATTCACTAACCAGGAGAACGACATAGATGAGAGGAATAGATTCAAAACATTGGCACTTACTTTATTGGATAAGCGGTGCCCCTGTTGTGCCGTCCGTTTTTGTAATTTGCGTGCTTTATAATTGAGCACTTCGTTTCAGTTAGATTATTTTATAGCAGCTAGTAGGAGGGGCCATGCTGGTGGTAGAATGGTTAATGTATACTTGAAATAAAAGCAAAACTGCCCAAAAATATCATGCATTTTTAGCCTTATTCGTAACAGCCCCGAGGAAATGGTGTAAATTGGGTGTTTCAAGTGTGTTTTATAATGAAGATCCTGATAGTTAAAATAATGGTGTAATAAGGGTGCTCTTTACGATCGTATTACACTCATAAGGGCGTAAAATTTTTTGCTGTGTTGACCATAATCATCAAGAAATTCACATTTTATTTTAAAAAAATGCTTTCATAACTGAAAAATTGCAATGACGGCGTCGTGTGCAAAAAACCAGCACCGGTGAGTGGCTGCGAAATGCGGCCCTCTAACGTGTGCCAGTCATATGCGCATGTGCATGCACCATTTTTTATCATGACTTGTACTCTCACCACGAGCTTGAAGATGATCAGCCATTTATATTGTTTTAATATTGTTTTATCGGAATGATTGAACTGTACTACTTGTGCAAATCTTATTCTATAAGCCACGAATTGAAACCTTTTTTTGTGTGATGTCAGTGGCATTCTTGGCCGATATTGGTGCAGTCAGATTTTTTTTTGTTTTTTAACTTGACAACGCATATATATGTGGCGACGGAGTATGATGTGGAAAACTATGCCGAACCTACGCTAAACAGTGTATGTATGTGTGGTTGACTACATATGCTTAGAAACTTGGACGATAGGTGCTCTATCTTAGATAACTGTAAAAGTTAATGAGGAACAGTCAGTACCCTAATTGTCTGCCTACATAACCTTAGATAATGCAATTATTGAATTTTAAAGAGTGCCACATTTTGCTATTGCCCCGTAGTGAATGCATAACTTTTGTTGTTGCCTCGACTGAGTGAATTGTTGCGTTGCTAAGGAAGTGGTCGAAGGTCCGTTTCCTGACATGGAAGAAATAGTTGTGAGATAGTACTGCCATATGAAGTTTAAAAATGAAACAAAAAAGAGTCCCTAGTACATCAGCCGCCAGCACGCCAAGCATATATCATACTGGTTTTCCCGATACGGCAAGGATCCCTAAAGGGACACCACGGAGCAAACCGCTTTTTCGCGTATTGGTAAAGTGCAATTGCATATCCCGAAAACCCCCCTCTTACCACGATACGACATTTGGTAAGCGAAAAAATGCACGAAAAGAAACTGCTGATGGAGACGTTACAGTGAGGATACCACACCAAACACTGTCATGTAATCAATTTTTAAGCTGCCTACTGAGGCCTACGTAGCGTCTAATCGATCAAGTGGAAGTACATTGTAATTTGTAGGTGCCTTCGATTTAGCATGTGAAGTCTCGGACAATTTTATTGAGTATATGTTATGAAAATACAAAAAACATTGTGCAACTTCCACCACGCATGGAGTTTACTTCGCGAAATTTAAAAATGCAATTCGAGCTGTAATTTTTTCCTCTAATAATGAACTTATGAAAGAGAAGCCTATGGCATCAGAGTTCTGACAACGCGTGGAGCTTACTTCGCGAAATTTAAAAATGCCATTCGAGCTGTAATTTTTCCTCTATTAATGAACCTATGAAAGAGAAGTCAATGACATCAGAGTTCTGACAACACAGTTTATCAATATGAAACAACTCAATGTTTGCTTAGTGTTTCTTTAAATTTCTTTCCTCTCGTGACAAGAAAATTTGAAGACGAGGCGAACGTATTTAGTTTATAATGTAACTGGTCGGAGTTTTCAGATGTTAACGACTTGAACTTCAAACAATCGGGAAATTGGCGGGACATTTCTGTGGCGGCATTGTCTTTGTGGGAGAAATATACTCAGGAGATGACGATGACATAGGCGTGAACTTGTGGATCCCATCTCTCTGAATCAAAACCGCAAAATTGCACAAAAAAGCAAGAGGTTCAGTGCTAGGAAGCAACAAAAAACAAACAAAAATTAAGCGGAGGGATGACTTCGTGAACTCTATGACACCAATTTGGGCGGTTAAGGGTAGTAACCAGCTTCCTTATCATCCGACTTTGCACGACTCACCAAACGCTGGCGTGAGGGAACACTCTTGCTGTAGTGAACAAAGCTATCTTTGATCTAGCTACCACTTGAACGAAAATTTTGAGTGAGATCATATCGTGCACTGCGAAGGCGTGATACGTCCAATGATGCCCTTCAAAACAGCACACACGCGTCCGCTCAACCAATCAAAGCACGTGGTACCTGTAAAAGTAGCGCAGTCTTCCTCACCTGCTCCGGGATTCACCCCCTCCCCTATCCCCACAACCTTTTCGCGATACCAAAGATTGCCTCGAGGCGTTTCCTCTTTCAAAAACCGATTGTCGGCTACCCTCTAACGCTTTCACTGGTGCATAGAAGTACGTGTGGGCTGATGTATTTTTCGACGTTATCTGCATCCTCACTGCAACTTGGACGCTGGCGGCGAACTTAGTGCACCTTTGCTATTCATCATAATGATATCGAAAAAAAAATATGTTATACCCAAGCCGCTACATTCAATCCTCGTTTCTGTCAAGTATAAGGAGCTTGAGCAAGCGTTATGCCAAGGTTAGTTTTATCCCAAATTATCGCAGAGGCTCGGGCTTGTCCCATCAGTGTATACATCCTCTGCGAGCCACTTAGAGTTCACCTCTGATTACTGAGCAGACACAGACAGCACCCACTGTCAGTACTATCCGCCACTCACCCAGATTGCAGTTTCTCAAAAGTAATATCGCGGCATGAAAATATTATTCCATCAAGGTTTTCTCCGCCAAATGCCCCTGCAGTGCCTCCATGCGTCCTGCCTAAACCACCTGTCTCTTTTACGATACCTGGAATTACGAAGAAGTTGCTCATTTCTTCTGTTGGCTTCAGACAACTGACCCTATATCACATTTTTACTACGTACAGTGATTCTCTGCACGTATACACTGGCGGATCCACTACGCTAAACACCTCCGCCGCAGCCTTTGTCATCCCAGACATGGATATCGCTCAACGATTCAAAGGGGACCATAAAACCCCATCAACTACCGCAGAGCATGTCGCTATACGGGAGGCAATAAGGTTTATTTCCGGAGAGCGACCTCGAGCCTGGACGATTTTCTGTGATGCCAAACCCGCTTTGCAAACCATTATTTGCATCATGAAGCAAGGTCCGTATTACAGCTTGGCAATACAAATCACAGAACTTATTCAGTTTGCTTCAACAAATGGTCATCTTATAACTTTCCAGTGGATTCGCGCGCATTGCGGCGTGATGGGAAACGAAGAGGCAGACGCTGAAGCTAAAAATGCCTTAAGCAGTGCCCCTGAAGTACGCATTGCGTTTTCACGAGTTGACACGAACGCCCTGCTTCGCTGCGTGATGCGCAGCAACACACTTCAGCACTGGACCAAACAGGAACGGCGACACCAGCGACTTCACAAATGGGACCCGGAAATGAGGTTCCGCATGCCCCCTAAATTGAAAACGGCAACTCACAAGTGTGATCCACCGCATTCGTCTTGGTGTAGCGTACACCAGACGTTACGCACATATCATCGGTCGCAGTGACACCGGTCCTAATTGTGAACACTGTGATGTGCCAGAAACACTTGAGCACATATTTTGTGTCTTCCCAGCATACGCACGTGAACAACAAACACCGATTTCTTCTACTGAACTATATATCGCAGTAGGTCATTAACTGATGAGACCATGTTGGGCCCTTGGCCAGACACCAGCAGTGCAACTGCAGTCGCAAGAGCAGTTATTACCTTTTTAGAGACAACATGACTATGTGCGCGGCTATAAAATGTGTCTCAGCCAGAAAGAACACTACATACTCACCGCTCTATCTCACCATCGTCATTCATTAATCTTTCTTTTCCCCTTTCCCTTCCCCCAGTGTAGAGTAGCAGGCTAGAGCAAGCTATCGCTCAGGCCGACCTCTCTGCCTTTCTGTAAATAAACTTACCTCCTCCTTACTATAGCTTTAAATAAAATTATAACACAATTTCTGTGAATATAGGCAGAAAATACCACCGAATATACTGATTAAGTAAGCCACGTACCTCCAGCAGTACTTTCAAATCAGGTTTTTGCGCAGGAATAATATGCTTCTGGTCACCATTCGTGTTCTTCGTTTGGTAAGCAAAACTTTCTGAAAAAAAGCAGATTACGAGTAGACTGAGAGAAAGCATGCTTTTCTGTACGTATTACAAGTGCGCAACCGTCAAATGATTTAGACAATGCAAGCGTAGGAGTGGTTGCTCGATGTATATTTAAAAATGTACAGTCGATAAAAACAAGCTGCATCATATTTGTTTTACTTCTTTCTGAAGTTGCTGGTGTGCTATAGTACAGATTTTCTGCTTGTCGTATAGGTTGCGCGATTGAACGCACACATCCTTGCTTCCATCACCTGCATTATTAGATTTCGCAAGAACAAAAGACTTGAAAACTCTAGAGCTATTGTTAATGATGAAAGGCTTTTTTTCAGCCAGTGGAACATCTGTCAAACTTATCTGTCTTAGGACAAGTTGCAGCAAACTCTTTGTAAGAAATGGCAATTTACAAGCAATAGACAAACGTTTTAGCGTATCAGCGATTTGGCACTGAAAAAATTGGTATATCCTGAATCTCCGCTTTTCAGGGCTGATTGCGATAGAAATGTCTTGCTCAAACTGCGTACTTGAGCCACTTTGTGCATGCTTTTTATTGTATGATGTTACTCTAACCGCTTAACTTGTGGGTTAAAACAATATAATCCATAAATTTTATTGTTGCTTCTGTCAATAAAGCTTTCGCTTACGGCTGAATTCTGTAAAAGGAGTGACATGCTTTTAACCACAAGCAATTACTCGCGAGAAAGGTTCGCTAACTTGCTAAGCACACAGTACGTGGTCTAAAGAGAATGTTCATCTTACAATGGGTGGCCCTCTTCAAAACAAGATGCAGTTGTGATAACCACGTGTTCTGATGGCTGGTGCTAATGTACGCTTGTAACGCGCAGTATAGCACTGTGATGATACATGCATACATGTATTCTGAAGCCTGTGTACAGGATGCGTCTGTTTGTAAAGTGAGAATTCAATTAACAGTGCATTTAGATGCACAGGAAGCTCCTTTCATGGTATTTATAAGCAGACACTTGGCTGCGTGGTAGAAAACGTGTACATTCCGCGCTAGCAGCCCGGGTTCGATCCTCACTTGTAAACTTCTTATTAATTACTTTATTCGCATCTATTCGATTTTTAGGTCATAAAAAAGATAATTTTCCGCTCACAACCAATGACGCTGGCTCTAACGCCGACATCGCGACAAGTCACACATCCCCTGAGATTGTAGATAAGGCACGAAATAGTAAACTTGATTTTATTTCAATTTATTTCTTTTACCTTAAAGACCTCGCAGGGTCGTTACATAAGGGGTGGGGTATACAATACAAACAGGAAAAAAATTACAGAGAATGTTCACAAAAAACTCTTGTTAATGCGTCCGTGAAGGCAGTTGAGATGGCGATGGAAGCTATGTGTGAGGAAAGCCGTTCCACTCTTTGGCTGTGCGGTGAAAAAATGATGACGAGCAAGCGACAGTGTGCGCACTTGCCCGAGCAACGTTACATGAATGGCCAATGCGCAGTGAAATGCGTGAAGGAGGAGAAATGTAAGGTGCGTGGCGAAGTGAAGTGTTGTAGAACTTGTGATATATTGATAATCTCGCGATACGACGGTGATGAGCCATCGATTACAATACAAAATTTGGTTTTAAGAATGAAACACTGATGGCGTATGAGAATGGTGAATGAATATTCCTTACTGCGCGACTCTGCACAGACAGTATGGCGTCGTTGAAGTAGTTCTGATCAGGATTTCATGTAGGCGCTGCATATTCGAGCTTGGGCCTGACGAATGTTTTATATGCGAGTAGTTTTAAGGGTTGAGGAGCGCTACGAAAGTTACGTTTGAAAAATCGTAAAGTTTTGTTTGCAGATGAAGTGATGTTAGTAACATGAAAGCACCAGTTGAGATCATGTCTAATTGTAATCTCTAGGTACTTGTATGAGTTGACATGGTCAACGGCCATTGACCATGTCAATTGACGACACTCCGGGGGTGTCGTCAATTGTGAAAATTATGTGATTACGATTATGTCAGCGAGAAATTGACATGGACTTACAATTATTTGTATTAAAGACCATCATCCACTGATCACACCAGTTTTAACGTTATTTATGTCAATCTGCAATGAGATGTGATCATTGTTGTTAATGATAGATCGATGAAGGACACAATCGTCTGCAAACAATCGAATGTTAGGTGATACATAGAATGGTAGATCGTTTATGTGTATTAAGAATAAGAGGGGACTTAAAACGCAGCCCTGGGGGGCGCCTGACGTGACTCGTAGAAATTAAGAAGCAGTATTGTTAATAATGACAGATTGTGATCAGTTACTTAGAAATTACTTTATCTAATTTAGGACGTTAGGGTGCAAGTTCAAGTGAGAAAGTTTTAATATTATTCTTTGATGATGCACTTTATCAAATGCTTTCGCAAAGTCCAGGAAAAGGAGTTGTGTTACTATGTTATGATGAACGTTTGAGTGAAGGTCGTGCAGAAAGGAGGCTAGTTGGGTTTCACATAATAAATTCTTACGAAAGCCAAGTTGTTACGGATGGAAAAAGTTATTACTGTCAAGAAAATTCATAACCAGTGAAAATATGATGTGCTCCATGATGTTGCAAGGTATACTAGTGATGGATACGGGGCGATAGTTCAATGGTGATTCACGGTTACCTGATTTGTAGAGCAGCATGACCTTGCTCTTTTTCACTCGTCTGGAAGGGTGCCTGATAATAATGATGCAGAGAACAGCAGGGTTAGGTACATGGAAGATATGCACTTTGTGTTTTTCAATAACTTCGAAGTGACTTTATCAACACCAGCTGATGAGGAAAATTTGTGTTTGTCAATCAGTGCGGATATTCCGACTGGTGAAAAATTCACATCCGGCATTGATAGGCAATACAGGAACAGAATATGCAGGGAGAGCCATGGGCGGTTCGATTGTGAAACAGATGCGAAACCGGAGCTAAACACATTGGCACAATGTATCTCAGAAAAAACTTTACAAATGGTGATACCTGAGGATGAACTGGAGTTGATGACCTGCCAGAATTTCGGGGGTTCCTATTAAGCATGCGAGGTAAATCTGAATGGAAAAAATTCATATTTGCGTTGTTGAATAGCGACCAAGTAGTTGCGTTCAGCTTCCTAATACTTAACCCAGGAGTTGGGCTTGGGCTGATGTTTAGCTGAGAGAAACAACCGTTTCTTTTTGTTTTCAAGTTTTCTTAACGTGTTGGTGACCATGATTGGTTGCGATGTGGCCGGAGTACGGCTGTTAGTAATATTGCGTAACAAGATTAGACAGCTTGTTTTCGAAAAGCGACCAGTTTTTTTTTTCATCGAGCGGTTTTCAAAACCCGATAGAAATAATTCGTAGAATGTTTTTAATTCGCTGTTTATTGCAACATAGTTTCCTTTATTGTATAAGCGGATTATTTTGCTATTGGTTAAATGTTTGACAGGGGAAAACAACTGCTATAATTATTTTGTGATCGCTTATTCCACGTAGATAGCTAATGGAGGACAGGCTGTCTGGATGAGTGGTTAGTATCAAGTCAAGGATATTTGCAGTATCCTGAGTCACACGTGTGGGCTCCCTTATCATCTGTGTAAGGTTAAATTTTAGGCAAACGTCAATGAAATGTTTAACTCCTTTATTAGTGCTACCCAATCTAGAATAATTAATCCAGTCGACTCGAGGGTAGTTAAAGTCTTCAAAAAGCAAGATGCATGTGTTTGGGAATTTTTTCGTTAGAAAGGGCAGGATATTGTTGAGCTCTCCTGAGAAGTCAGAATTACTGTTGGGAGGATGGTAGCAAACACCGATTAGTATTAGCTGTGGGTTAGCTCAACAAATAAGCCATAAAATTTCAACGCTCGCAGTCACGTGAATAGTGGAACACTTCAGCTCTTTTTTGGCAGCGATGAAAACACCACCACCTCGAGCACCCCGCTTATCCCCGCGAAAAACATTGTAGTTCAGCAGTTCATTCATAACTTCTCTGTCATCAATTTCATTTGTAAGCCATGTTTCGGTTAAAATAAGTAAGTCCCTTTCAGATGTAGTTACAAGGTCAGATACCTGTTCATGTTTGGAAGCAAAGCTTCTAACATTGGTAAAAATAACTGATATTGACAAATATTTCCGAGGGGCAGGCACAGTACCTCGGGACAGCTGGTGGTGACTGCGCGTTAACTATATTTCTTTAACGGATTGAGATGTTTTATGAAACGTGTATCGCTTTGAGCCAATTGATAATGTTTTGTAGTGAAGAGAAAAATGGGACAGACTTGCCTCTTCGCAAAAGTGATTAGGTGTCTGCGTGCGGTCTGTGCTTTTTTAGAAAATCTTCACCCACACTGTAAGGAGTATTTTAAAACTTACGACCATTCGACAATATGGCTTCCCTGGTTTTAAAAAGGAAAGTTTGACTATATTAGGCCGGTTCCGATCCGGACAGTATCAACCTAGGCGATGTGCTCGCTCAATTTTTTTTTGGCTCTGAGGAAAAGTTCAGTTGTTCAGAGCATAATTGAATAACTAGTTCTTCTGACTGTGCGAATGATTCAGATTTGTTTGTGTCATTATTGCCATAAAATATGAAATTATTACGCCGAGAGCAGTTCTCCGCTTCATCAAGATGGGTTTTAAGATTACAAACTGGACGAACTATTTCAGCTGTGTCGGTTTGCACTGTTCCGAGCTGCTGCCTCAAGGGCCCAATTTGCTGGCAATTGGTTTCCACATTCGATAGGTGTTTATTTAGTTGAGACAAGGTGTTATTGATTGCTAGTAGCTGACATAGGCGTTCGTACTTCCGAGGTAAGTTTAGATTGCCCAGTAGATATTTTCTTCAGTTCAGCTAGGACCGTTGCTGAATCAGGACCAGGATTTTGTTTAATGTCGCCTGACAGCTGCAGCAAGAGGAAACGCACAACATCAATACAGTCACGAACCATCGAGAATAAACACCGGGGGCTCGACAGCTGTACCAACAGGTAATTGCTCGTTCTTTTAGCGAATAAACTATGAGATGGATTAACCTGCATGACGAATAGCAATGAGTTAGTGGAAACTCTAGTGGCACAGCCACCGAGCCCCCCGAAGCGAACAGCACAGATCCGGTGG